ATATAACGTTCGATAATGTTACTGCATTCTGTCAGGAAAAAAACATGAGGAAAGCCAAGCAAGTTACCCTTGGAGTCGGGCTGTGCAAAGTTGGTTGCATGAACACACTCACTTGCTCCCTGGTAACCTAGCAACAATGCCACACAAACAGCTAACAACATCAGGTTTGGTTGCGCCATTCTCATGTGTGAACACAGGTCCGCTTATAAGCTGCGACTTTGGGCTTGTTTTTTTGTAAAGTCACTTACAAATATTGGTAGTCATGGGTTGCAGTTGCAACTGGTGGAGTTGCTTATTTGGGCTTGCTCTCTAAACGTTGCCTTTCTCTATATATATTCGTCTCTCTCTCTCTCTCTCTCGTATCCTATTACTGCATCTTGCTTACTCAGCCATTCTGGATGTCACTAACTCGGCTTCTTCTCCGGAGCCTTTGTGCTCCACTGTCTCTCAGGTTAACTCATATAACAGCGGTGACTGGAAAGAGTGACGTGTGTGGTTGTGCTGCTGCCGTGGTCCTGCCAGATGCCTCCTGCTGCTGCTGTTATCATTAGTCATACTTCTACTGTTATTATACACATATGATTATTATCACATATGTACACTATCAAATATTAATATATACTTTCAACATATTGTACCACAGTAGCCAGAACTATAATTATAATATTACTTTCATTAATGTTGTTGTAAGCTACTGTCATTACCGTCTGTCCTGCATCTCTCTCTCTCTCTCTCTCTCTCTCTCTCTCTCTCTCTGTCTCATTGTGTCATACAGTTTACTGTTAATTTATTATGCTGATCTGTTCTGTACGACATCTATTGCATGTCAGTCCGTCCTGGAAGAGAGATCCCTCCTCAGTTGCTCTTCCTGAGGTTTCTACCGTTTTTTTCCCCATTAAAGGGTTTTTTGGGGAGTTTTTCCTGATCAGCTGTGAGGGTCCAAAGGACAGAGGGATGTCGTATGCTGTAAAGCCCTGTGAGGCAAATTGTGATTTGTGATATTGGGCTTTATAAATAAAATTGATTGATTGATTGAGTACTGTTTACAGTCAAACATTTTGATGCACTGTAGGCTCAATTTTTGATAAATCAAAAATTTACATTGGGCTTTATAAATAAAATTGAAAAAAATTGAAACTGAATAAGTTATTTAAACGCATTATAGTATGTCGGACTGCAGGATGTTTCCACAGCTCCGCTCCCTCTGCCCCTCTCCTTCTCCACACACACACAGGTGGCGGTCAGTCAATGAGACTTTTCACATTTAAATTGCGTGATTAATTGAGGTTCACTAACAAGTGGGTGAAATAGGGAAAGAATACAATAAAGATTTGTAGAAAGAGAGGATTAAAACATTTGACTTCAAGAGGGGGACGATTCAAAGGCAGTGTGCAGATTCAGATACTGTGTGAAATATGTACTCATCATTCAGATCTTGTCAAGCATACCAGCACTGTTACAGTTGTTACAGTTATTTCTTATTTCATAGCTGCTCGTCTTAAAGCATTTTAATTCAATTTACATTGGTTTGAATTGATCTTACCATTTTACTGGATGTCCAATGCTGTTATGTCATTACAAGTCTACCTTGTAGCCTACCTCAGGTTTGCACTAATTTCAACAACGCACTTTCCTCACTATGTGAATCACTTATTCATCTGTACATAGTCTTCAGTTCAGCTGCTCGTCTTTACAGATATGTCTGCCTGAAAGCATTTACTAGCTTTACTTGATGTCAAGAGAAAATGGTTCATTTTTTATTTTAGTTTTTATACCATCTTGTGTATGTTCATTTATTTGAGTGTTTTCTAATGGTTGTGTTGACATTACATTTTCCGCCGTGTGCCTTGACTAATGACTGTGATTGAAATCAGAAGAAAGCTACTGAGTTTGAAATAAATGTGTTGAAATTTATTCATTTTCTCCTGGTCCTTATTTCAAATAGGTTATAAAAAAATTAGCGATAATTATCGCTATCGATCAATATGAACTAGCTATATCGTGATATACTTTTCAGCCATATCACCCACCCCTACTAGAACTAGGTACACCTGAGTACAACAAACTACGACTAATCATAACAGACTGCAACTATGTACGACTAACTTTAACTAATACTAACTGCAACACAGTACGACTGACTAGAACTAATTAGAACTAACTATGATTAACTATAACTAACTAAAACTAAGTTCAACTGAGTACAACTAACTATAACTAACTACGACTACCTAATCTAACTACAACTAAGTACAACTAATGACTAAAATGAGCACAAAAAGTAAGGAAATGTGTGTTTGGTAGATTAATTCTTTGTTGTAACAATGCCTCTTGGCAATAAATCTTATACCGTTGGAAAGCCTGTTTATTTCCCTTTTAAATGGAGCCACATTTGTAAGGAACATGTATTTTTGTGGGATGAGCAGCAAAGCTGAGTATGTGGGTTGTGCCCATGAAAAATTTGCCAAATCTTCTCTGCCAATGCCAAACAGCTTTTTTTTGTTTGTTTTGTTGTTGACTCTTGTTTGGTGGATTGGATGATTGAAGTCTGAAGACATATTGGCAATTTAACAATTTATTCATTTAACAAACAGGAGCCTCAGTAGCGTGTGGAAGAACCATACACAGCCACAACAGCCTGGCACCTCCTTCTCATGCTGGTCACCAGCCTGGTCACACACTGCTGTCGGATGGCAACCCATTCTTCAACCAGCATTTGTCGCAAGTCAACCAACGTGGTTGTGTTGGTCACTCTGGCACAAACAGCACGCCCAAGCTGATCCCACAAGTGTTCAATGGGGCTGAGGTCAGGACTGCTGGCAGGCCAGTCCCTCCTCTCCACTCCCAAAGTCTGGAGGCAGTCTCTGATAAACTCCGCTCTGTGGGGGCGAGCGTTGTCATCTTGGAGGATAGAGTTCGGTCCCAGACTGTGGAGATATGGGATTGCCACTGATTGCAGAATTTCATCTCGATATCTCTCTGCATTGAGATTGCAGTCTTCTGAACTCTATTTGAGATAGCCTCGTTTTTCCAGTGAGGAAGATGCCGCCCCACACTATCACACTGCCTCCACCAAGAGATTGGTGCAGGAATCAGCAAAGCATTCTCCGCATCTTCTCCACACATTGACCCTACGATCCAACTGCCGTAGGCAGAATCTGGATTCATCCCTGAACATAACGTTCCTCCACATGTTCAGGTTCCAGTGCACGTGTTGCCGACACCAGCACAAATGGGCCTAACGGTGAAGGGTAGCGGTGGCAGGCCTCCTGGCAGCCCTATGAGACCAGAGATTGGCTGCGTGCAGTCTGTTCCGCATTGTCTGGGCAGAGCCCTATCGTCTTGCAAACCTTGACTGCAAATCTTTAGAAGACTGCCTACGGTGCTGACCGGAGTGGGTTGCGGAGTAAGTGCTGACAGGATGAGGAAACAGTCTTTTTGGGGGACCTTCTTCTTGGGACGCCCCACTTTGCAGCCTGTCTCTGACATCCCCCGTTATATAGAACTTGGACTTCAGTTTGCTGATGGTACTAGGGCTCACTCAAAATAATGCCGCAACTTGGTTTTGCAGAACACCAGCTTGAAGTTGCCCTATCGCACAGGCCCTATCCAGATCAGTCAAACGTGGCATGTTGATTCTTGGAGCAGACACCAACTGACCACTGAAGCAGGGCCCATGCTCACAGGTGCTGTCAACACCTGGGGGTACCAGAAGCTCAAAACAAGAGTCAATAGCAAAAGCAAAATAGTTGGGCATTGGCAGAGGAGATCTGGCAAGTTTTTCATGGGCGCAACCCACATACTCAGCTCTGCTGCTCATGTCACAAATGCCTGTACTGTACAAATGTGGCACCATTTAAAAGGGAAATAAACAGGCTTTCCAACGGATTTATTGATTTATTTATTTTGATTTATATTTAAGATTTATTGCCAAGAGGTATTGTTACAGCAAAGAAATAATCTAACAAACACAAATTTATTCATTTTCACTTAGTTTATAAGTAACTACGACTAACTGTAACAAACTTTAACTGTGACTAGCTACAACCTATGACTAACAATAACTAACCAAAACTAACTAAACTAACTACGACTAACTATAGCTAACTACAAGTAACTATAACCAACTGTGACTAACTACAAGTAACTACCACTAACTATAAGTAACATTTTGTAATTACAACTAACTACAAATACACTATAACATACTTTCACTGACTACAACTGTAAGTGTGACTAAGACTAACTACAACTAACTAAACTAACTATGAATACAAAGAAACTACAACTTACTATAACTAACTGTGACTAACTACGACTAACTATAACTATGACTAACAATAACTAACTATTACTAACTCACAGGGCTTTACAGCATACGACATCCCTCTGTCCTTAGGACCCTCACAGCTGATCAGGAAAAACTCCCCCAAAAAAACCCTTTAACAGGGAAAAAACGGTAGAAACCTCAGGAAAAGCAACTGAGGAGGGATCCCTCTTCCAGGACGGACAGACGTGCAATAGATGTCATATGTCGAACTGTAACTATCAGTAACTATCACTATCAGTGACTATCGATAACTAACTGTAACTATCAGTAACTAATGAGCATCTAATTTTAACTACCAATAACTAACTGTAACTACTAAGTAACTATCTAACTAACTGGAACTATCAGTAATTGTCACTATCTGTAACTATCAGTAACTAACTGTAACTATCAGTAACTGTCACTATAAGCAACTATCAGTAACTAACTCTAATCAGTAACTATCAATTACTAACTGTCATTATCTGTAACTATCAGTAACTAACTGTAACTACCAGTAACAAACTTTACCTATCAGTAACTAACTGTAACTGTTACTATCGGTAACTAATCAGTAACTAACTATAAGTAACTAATCAGTAACTCCTAAACTAACAAACTAGTGTTTTATTTCTGTCTCTAATCAAGGAAAAACAATCAGGGTGACATCATGTGTTGCTGGGCAGATTACCGCTGGTCATGTGAGACACTTTGGCCAGTTTCTTCATGACGTTGTCCAACCTGGACTGAGTGTTGTCCACCTCATGAGTGAAGTCATCCAGCATCCTGCAGGACAAACACAGAGACTCACCAAGTCTGACCATACCAACCAGGAACCAACCAGGGAGCAACTGGAGACCAAGCAGAGAGCAACCAGATACCAACTAGGAACCAACCAGAGACCAAGCAGTAACCATGTTTGTAATGGTGGAATGTAACTAAGTACTGCTTAGTATTTGCTTAGTTACTTTACTTTACTTTACTTTGTACCAAACAGAGGCCTGACATAGTGTTGTGGTCAGTGAGTCAACAGATAGTTTATTTCATTGAGCTGACAGTTCCTTGGGAAGACTCAGTGGAAGAAGCCTATGAAAGAAAAAAGCTTAGATATGCAGAGTTAGGAGCAGAAACTGAGCAGCGAGGATAGAAAAGTTGGATTTGTCCAGTGGAAGTTGGGTGTAGGGGATTAATAGCAAGATCAGCTGTCTCGCTCCTGGGGGAACTCGGAGTGCGGGGACAGAGTTTGAGGAAGACAGTGAAGGAAATGTCAGATGAAGCAGCTAGATCTAGTCAGTGGATTTAGATGAGGAGGAATAATGTCAGTTGGGGGCCAGCAGGGGGAACTACTAAGCAAGGTACATAACTCCTTGAGATCAGGTGGAGAGCTCCACTTCCTCTCAGGAGGAAATCCAGGAAGAGGAAGGTTATTTAAGTGTGGGAGTGGCCTATTTGAATCCCTTTTGTTTGAGACCATGCTGCAAGGTGAATGTGTTTGCTGATCCTGTGAGTTTATTTAGCTCCTTTAACTTTAGCTTATATTGGAGTTATGCTATGTAGCATGTGAAATAGAGTATGGTGAATGTGCTAGGAAAGGTGGTATCGGCACAGTCACTACCTGGAGCTCGCATGAACGGAGCCTGGGTTTGTTGAAAGTGGCAGTGTTGTTTGGGCCGAGAAAGCCTGTGAGTTTATCTTCTCTATCTGCTTTAACTATAGCTTATATTGTAGTTATGCTATGTAGCGTGTGAAATAGAGTATGGTAAATGTGCTAGGAAAGGTAGTATCAGCACTGTCTCTACCTGGAGCTCGCATGTATGGAGCCTGGGTTTGTCGAAGGTGGCAGTGCTGTTTGGGCTGAGAAAGCCATGTGTACGTAAGGTAAAGGAGGTTGTTGGGTTGGTGCGGGGAGCAGTGAGACCTGGCATTAGGGGAGTGTCTCTGGGACACCAGAGATCACTGTCTAGCCTCCTGGAGGTGTCGTGGGACCAACTAGACGAAACACCCACCCGATGATCCCAAAGACATGCTAGTTATCACTGCTCACTGGTCTGTATAGTTAAGCCTTGCCATAATAGCTTATCATAGGGCTTAGGAGGTTATTCACTGAGTGCAGATCCTTTTCTAGAGCACAACCTTCTTGTGTTTATTTGAATTTAATCCCCTTCCTGCCCAGTAAAAACCATGTATCTGCAAATGTGCCCATGTTAAATGTTTGTAATGACATGTTGAGAAAATTCTTCCCCTCCTTAGAATTTAAAAACTGTCTGGGACCAGCTGTCGTCGTCACATCGCTGAAAACAGCCTGTTTTTAGACATACATGGTTCTCACAGGACAAACACATGATGATCTTATAGACCATGATGGATTGCTAGAGATTAAACTACACAACAGTATATAAAGGTCAGGGATTAGGTTTAGGGTTAAAGTAAAAATGTGTGTGACCTAAATCATCTATGTTAGATGTTTTAGGTCACACTCATTTTTACTTTAACCCTAAACCTAACCCCTGACCTTTGACCCAGCAGCACAATGACACATAAACCCCACTGTTAAATGAATTTGATGAGACAAGGAAGAAAGAACATCGTGCTGATAATGTTTTCATAGTTTAAGAACATTCTCCTGATAATGTTTTCATGTTTAAAAACAATATGCTGATAATGTTTTCATAGTTTAAGAACAATGTTTTCATAGTTTAAGAACATTCTCCTGATAATGTTTTCATAGTTTAAGAACATTCTCCTGATAATGTTTTCACATTTAAAAACAATATGCTGATAATGTTTTCATAGTCTAACAACATCCTGCTGATAATGTTCTCAGTTTAAGAAGAAAAATGTTTTATTTCATTTCAGTGAACCTGTAACCATGTGACCACATCCTCGGATCAGGAGCATTATACCAAATTAATCACACCTGTGGGTGCTTGGCTCCCTATAAGCCTCACGGTTTGGCTGTCACTTCTGAGCTGCCTGTCTGGGAATCCCCGTGATGTGCCGTGAGGCGATCTATTGTTTATTGCAGGAGAACGATCGCTTATAGTTTTCACTGCCGTTGGGCAAGTGAGTAACATTTCCTTGAGAGTCCATTTAACTGTGGGTTAGCAATCTGCGATAACTTCTATGTTTGTTTTTGTGAAAGGAAGCTGAATCTTCTTTGGCAATAGGTGGGTGTACCGCGGCTCAGTGCGATATCGCTGCCTATCGCTTTGGAGTGGTATTACACTGAAAATCAAGGAATAATTTCTAGGGATTGTTGCCTTCTCTATATTGTCCTGGCACAATAGTATTGTCTGCCCTTAGGTTGGGCTGCTCCCTTCATTAATCCTACGTGAAAAGCACATTTTGTTTTGCTGAGTTTCCCTACATGTATTCACTGAGGGATGCAGTGTGCTTCCTGCTATGGAGTCTCAGGCCAGTGAAACAATTAACAGTGGCCTGGAAGTCACGCTACCACCTGGCCAGGGTCTGGTTCCCACCAGTCCAGATGTTTTGGCTGGCAGGAAGAAGACGAGGAAGCGGAAGTGGGCAAAGCAGAGCCAGCTTTGTGATCTGAGGTTGGACCTTATGCAAAAGCAGCTGGAGGAGATGCATAAGACCATTGATTGCATGGTTACACATCAACAACACCTGTTGGATGTGTCACACCAAGCTCCTCCATTTCTGCATCCACATTCTGATGTTCTTTCTCTTACTGCCTCAGACAAATTTGGATAAGACCGACAGCTCTGGCTGCAGCGCCTCTGAGCAGCTGAGTGTTTTTGAGTAGAGAGAGGTCCAGGCTGAAGCTAAATATCAGGTGGCCCAGGTGGGTCCTGTTGCTGATTTTTCTGTTGGAGCGCTGCTCTCTCGGGCAGCAGTGGCTGCTGGTGTTCCTCGTCCAACATGTCCACCAAGAGCCTCTGCGTTGGACTGGGACCCAAGGAGCCAGAGGCAGGAACCTTTGCCTGTGTATCCTGATTTTATTAAACAATTGCAGGGCTCTTTGGCACGACCAAGGGATGCTCCTGCCCCCCACTCTGCTCTCACTGTCCTCAGTGGGGCTTCAGAGCATGGCCTAGATGGTGTGGCCAACCTTTGCAATGTTGGCTGGGGCCTCCTCCACGGGCAGCAGGGTTGCTCGGCATCTGAATAAGAAGTGCCGCACCACGGATGGGTTGGTGGCAAAGGCTTTTCAGTCTACAGCCATGGCCTCTCGACTGGCGAACACAAATGCTCTCCTAATGGTGTACCTGGAGGGGCTGATACGGGATCTGGAATCCAAGAGCCTAGCTGAACCTCTGCCAGAAATGGCGGAGGTAGTGGATACAGTGATCCAGGGTGCTAGCACTCAGGCCAGGGTCCTGGGTAATTCCCTGGCGCAACTGAGCATGACTTGGCGGCATATTTGGCTGAGTGAGTCGGGTTTATCGGATTCAGACCCGGCTGCGATCATGGATGTCGGGATAACTCCTGGAGAGATGTTTGGGCTGGCAGCAGAGGCTGCGTTGGATGAGGCTCAGAAGGTTCAGCAGCATACAGTCCATTCACCATCCTGGACAGTCGAGGCTGGTGGCTCGGAGAACTCCAGAGAGGCGTGTTAGTTTCCAGCGGCCTTGTTTTGCTAAGCAGGACCCCTCACATAGCTCTGACAGAGCTGGACGGGGGGGTTCCACCACAGCAGTCACAGGGCAATGAGTGTTCTTGCCCACGCTCCAGAGAGCGCGCTGGTCGGGGTTCTGGCAGGGCCCGCCAGTGTCCCTGACTGTGCAGCCCCACTGACACCATCTTTTTCCAGCGCCCACCTCAGTGCTTGGCGTCAGTGCATGTCCGTGGGTGCTCAGAACTGGAGTTGGGGTATCGCCTGCAATTCAAGGTCCGACCCCCCTCGCTTCCGGGGGATCCTGGAAACAAGATAAAGGGACAAATTTTGTGCTGCCATTCTGGCCGGCGAGATTTCTGCCTTACTAGGGAAAGGTGCAATATGGCCTCTGTCTCCAGAAGAGGCGAGGGTTTTATTCCAGCTACTTCCTTGTTCCCAAGTGGACCGGCGGGTTCCGCCCAATTCTAGATTTGAGACGCCTGAACAAGTTCCTCAAGGTGCTTCCCTTTCGGATGCTGACACTGAGGGCCTTGTTTCAGGCTGTAAGGGCGGGTGGCTGGTTCACAACAGTGGACCTTCGTGATGCCTGTTTTCATATTCCCATCAGCCCGGACCACAGACCGTTCCTCAGGTTTTCTTTTCAGGGGAGGGCCTTCGAATACAACGTTCTCCCCTTCGGTCTGTCCCTTTCACCATGCACTTTCACCAAATGCATGGATGTCGCACTCATCCCCCTGCAGCAGAAGGGCATTCTAGTGTTAAACTAAACGATGGGGACGACTAGCTGGTGGGTGCTCCATCAGAGCGCCTGCCATGCAGTTACACAAAGATGTGCTAGCACATCTGGTTGCACTAGGGTTGCATTTGAATGCAGAAAAGAGCTGCCTCGTGCCTCAAGGTCAGTCGAGTACTTGGGTCTCCTTGTGGATTCGACCACGATGAAGGCATGCCTGACTCAGAAGGAGTAGAGTGCAATCATGGATTGCATCACAGGTTGCATTTCCAGCAAGTCGGTGTCAGTGCTGCAGTGTCAGAGGATGTTTTTTTTTTTTTTTTTGCAGCAGCAGCTCAGGTCAGCTGGGCTTGTTACACCCACACCCTCTCCAATTGTGGTTTGGTCGCCAGGAGCTCCTCCCACCCAGGGACCGGTTGAAAATCCTCACCTTGTCACACAGAGCCCTCAAGGTCCTCATGTGGTGGAGGCGTTCTCAGGCTGTCCTAGACGGCATCCCCCTGGGTCAAGGAGGCTGCAGGGTGACTATTACAACTGACGCCTCCCAATCCGGCTGGGCTGCTGTCTAGGAGGGCAGGTCTGTTCGCGGCTGTTGGGGTCCTGCACAACAGGGATGGCATATGAACCTCCTCGAAATGGAGGCAGTTCACCTGGCCCTAAGAAACTTCCTGCCAACTGTACAGGAGAGGCAGGTCATGATACAGACAGACAACATGGCTGTAGTGTCCTATATCAATCACCAGGGCTGACTGAAGTCTCTACCTCTGCATGCAAGGATGCGTCCTCTGTTGTCCTCAATGCACGGTCCGCGAGGACCACTGGGGATGGACGCCCTCAGTCTTTCATGGCCCAGTGTAAGGCTGTATGCATTTCCCCCGCTTCCTCTCATTTCAGCATTCCTCAGGAGTGTGAGGCTGCAGTGTGCTCAGGTGCTCTTGGTGGCACCTTACTGGCCACAGAGGCCGTGGATGGCAGAGATCTACGAGGTGCTGGAGGGTTGCCCATGGCGTCTTCCAGTGAGACCAGACATGTTGTCCCACGTGCACAGCAGCATATGGCACCCAGAACCCCAGATCCTGAAGCTTCATGTGCGGCCCTTGAACGGCAGCGCTTGTGTGCACTTAGCCTAGATAAGGAGGTGGTGGACACCTTGCAGGCTTCACGGGCTGCCTCCACTCAGCGGCAGTATAGCAGCAAGTGGAAGGTGTTAAGGGACTGGTGCAGTGCTAAGGAAGAGGATCCCTTTACTTGCAAAATCTCTACCATTCTGTGCTTCTTCCAGCACCTTGTTGCCCTTGGTCGGGTTGAATCAACCATCAGGGGCTACCTTGCAGCAATCTCTGTACTTCATAAGAAGTGTGATGGCAGGTCTATGGGGACACATCCCCGGGGTGTGCAATTTTTGAGAGGTGTGATATGGAGTTTCCCATCTTGAAAGCGTTTACTACCCTCCTGGGACCTCCAGGTGGTTCTTAGGGCACTTTGTTTGCCCCCTCTTGAGCTACTGTCTGATCTTGACCTTCAGCTTGTTTCTCTGAAGACCGCCTTTGTATTGGCCATTGTATCTGCTAAACGGGTTAGTGAGTTAAGTGCTCTCTCTGTGGATCCAGCACGTCTTAGTTTTGGAGAGGGATGTTTTCATAGTTTAAGAACAATCTGCTGATAATGTTTTCATAGTTTAAGAACATTCTGCTGATGTTTTCATAGTATAAGAACAATAATGTATTCACCATTTAAGAACATCCTGCTGATAATGTTTTCATAATTTAAGAACAATAATGTTTTCATAGTTTTTTTTTCTTCCTGTCAACGCTGCAGTTCGTTCGGTCAGTCGGTCCTCACCCTCTGATTGAAGATGCACAGCTGTTTGGTAAATTTACTTTTAACTGCACTGATCGACTTCAGCTATGTGCCACCACATACTTGCAGACAGTTTCCTCCATGATATCCGACCAGTGCGACTGATATTCGAGCTGAGCCGCAAACTAGATAGAGCAAGCGTAACCATAGTGACAGTTGACAGCTATTGTTTATCAAATAATTGTGATCCAATTATTAATGGTCACATGTTTCATTCTGCCACACATATCACACATATGGCCTATTTTGGATTCAAAATAGTGATTTTGCCAAAACATGATAAGTTTACACGATAAAAGTTCTTACACGGCCTGTTCATCCAGCTCCATGCCGATCCTCTCCGACATGTTCTTCAGGACTCCAATTGTTCCTGACACAAGCTCCAGCTGTTCATCCTGCTGCTCCGCCATCAGCTGATACAAACACACACACACACACACACACACACACACACACACACACATTATGCACTTTGTTTGAATCCAACAAGTTCATTATTTATATCACAGTATCTGAAACACTGTCAGAACTCTGAGAACCTGCTGCTGGGCCTGCTGCTCCTCTATAAACTGCGAGTTGGCGTTCTGCAGTTGACGGTCCAGTCTGCTGTATTTATCAGGACCAGGCTGCCAGATTGGACCCTGAGCACCACGCTCACCGAGCAGAGCCTGGAGATCACAACAACACAGACATGTACTGTCAGACATTTTACATCAGCAGCACTTCTATGCCCACTCAGGAACTCGCCTACCCTTACTGTGTTTTCCGGGGACCTACCATACCCTCGCCTTAACCTCTAAGGACCTATCATACCCTTACTGGTTCCTCCAGGGACCTACCATACCCTCAAATTAACCTCTAAGGACCTACCATACCCTTACTGTTTCCTCCAGGGACCTACCATACCCTCAAATTAACCTCTAAGGACCTACCATACCTTTACTGTTTCGTCCAGGGACCTACTCTACCCTCACCTTAACCTCCAGGTGTTTTTTAGAACTTCAAAGAGTTTCAAGTTATTCATTGTGGGGTGGATTCTAGTAGGTACCAGGGAGGTTCATGATCAAATGAATGAATGGGTTTCGAATTAAGGCATCTTTGGGGGTCTTTGTGTGTCTCAGAAAAATGGTGTTTTGAGAGGAGGATTTCTCTGAAGGGATTTAAGGGTTTTCTTAAGGGTTTTGGGGCATGTCATCTCAGCACTACTGTGCTTTAAATAGAGAACACATCAGCAGAGTAGTTCTCACAGAGCAATACACCTGTGGTCAGGCAGGTTACCAGGTACATCAGGTGTGTTCAGTTACCTGTTTGTTCTTTATGTCTACTGAGGCAGCAGCTGGACTCGACATCTGGTCTTTCATTTCCTTCAAGAGAAACAAAGTCTTTCAGCAGCCAATCAGATCAATCAATTCTTCAGAGACACCGCAGCTTATCAGACAGGTGTGAACCTCTTACCTTTTTGTTTAGTGTCCGTGTAAAACATCTCTGTACAGATCTCAGATTTTTTTAATTACATGTTTAGATCTTAATAGTTTATTCTATATTTATGTTCTTGACTGTTGCACTACTTTGCCCATATTTCAGTCCTCTTATCATGTTGTATGTACGTTTCATGAATGTTTCGTATATGTTTCATGTATGTTTCATGTATGCACTAACAACCAAAGCAATTTTCAGTGAGTGAAAATCTGTGGTAATAAATGTGGATCTGATTTTGTGTCTCCTCACCTGGGTAGGTGAGTCTGAACTGCTTTTACCTTAACAGTGTGTCTGGTGCTGGTGATGAAGGCTTTCCTCTTCGACAGCTCGGCTGCATCCAGGTTGAACTTCTTTGGGTTGGACTCAACGATGCGTTCACTGACAGTTAAGAAACACGTCACACTACAAACCCCTGAACTCACTAAATACACTCATCACTGTGACACACAGGTGAGGAGGTGAGAGGGTGAGGAGGTGAGGAGGTGAGAGGGTGAGTAGGTGAGGAGGTGAGAAGGTGAGGAGGTGAGAAGGTGAGGAGGTGAGAGGGTGAAGAGGTGAGAGAGTGAGGAGGTGAGAAGGTGAGGAGGTGAGAAGGTGAGGAGGTGAGGAGGTGAGAGGGTGAGGAGGAGAGAAGGTGAGCGGGTGAGGAGGTGAGAGGGTGAGAAGGTGAGAGAGTGAGGAGGTGAGACAGTGAGGAGGAGAGGAGGTGGGGAGGAGAGCAGGCAAGGAGGCATGTGGTCTGAGTGTTTTCAAGTAGAACAGATCCCAGGTGTACCCATGTGTGTAACCCCCAATTTTCACATACTCCGTCTGCAGAGCGCGCGCCACCCAGCGTCTCTGGAGCATCCCAGAAGCGCCACGGTGCTCCACTTCGTTGGACATACGCGCCAGGTCTATTTTTCAGCGACCTCACATCCATATCACGTCAAGCCACGTAGATCAGATCGCACCAAACCGGAAACAGAAAAAAAATTTCAAAATACAACATAATGCACGGATTACGGATTGTAAACTCTCAATTTTTTAAAAATCTCGTCACATCCTGTCGCACAAGTTGTCAGTCAATGCGAGAGTCCAAGGAAAGATGGATGAGGAGAAACTCATAGTTGAAGTGGAAAACCGTAGTATTTTGTATGACACCACGCATCCTTTCTACAAGGATACAAACCGAAAGGAGAAGACCTGGTGTGTAGCTGTGACATCAGCTGATGGTTAGATCTGTTTAAAGGATATTGATGGTCTCGTCGAGGTCCTCCAGGTCCCACTCGATGGAGCGCAGACTATTCCTCAGCTCATTGGTCGTCCAGTCCATTTCCTCCTTGGAGGCTCCGCCCCCCTCCTGCAGCAGCTCACGCCATCTGTGATGGAGGTTCTGGGCTGCATTCACTGCCTTCTGCACCTCACTGTAACAAACATAACTCATCTGTGACAGAGGCTCGAAGCAAACGCTCTCTTAAAGACTTAAAAAAGAAAAAAAAGACTAAAAACTCATCAGTTAAAGTGTTTATTCTGAATATTTTCCTGTTTTACGTACGGTTGGTTTTATGAATATTTTCCTGTTTTACGTACGGTTAACTTTATTGACAGAGACATCTTGAATTAAATCCAGACTCAGAAACATTCAACTCAGCAAAACTCTGAGCTGCAGGTTCACTGCTGCCACTGTCCGTCACTCAGTACTTTTACAGGCTAATCAGTCAAGTCGGACTTCTTGTCTTGTCTGAGTAAACATGCAGAAGAGAAAATCAAATTTCTGACCAAGTACGCCTGACTCCGCTTTGATGGGTGGTGCTGTGTCCTTTTTAACATAGTGCATATAGAACTGGTTCTGGTTGACCCGAAGAGGAAGCTAACGATGAATGAAGATGGCGGAGATGACTGTAGTTTCCTTGTCCGTCCAGAAGTGCGTCTTCTGCTTCTCGGTCACCATGGTGTTTGTTTGTTTTTCCAGGAGATACTGATCTGCTGCTATGTCATCTCCTTCCTCTTCGAGGTGAAAGCCCGCTAAAGAAAAAGTGGTGTTGCGCCGAACGCCGAGTCCGGCTCCAGTCGGACTAAGTGGATACATGCAGCAATAGTTCGATTTTCAATGGAATTATCTCGGTGTGTTAGTCGAGCAACGTATAGTCCAATTTCAGTCGGTCTAAGCTGTTTACATGCATTTAAAAATCCTGTTTCAATCGGACTAAGCCAATAATTCTATTTTCTCAAGATGCATGTAAACGTACTGACTCTGACAGCAAATATTCAAATGTCACGAACACTGACGGTGACAGAGATTATGTCAGTGGTCAAAGTTTTTACTGCGGCTCCGCCCACAGCACGACATTGTTTATCTTCAGTGTCGGCAAATTTAATTTATTTAAGATGATAAAGAAGACACACAGCTCATAAATTAATCACTGCACAAACATCAGACAGGTCAGGCCTCAGAGTTTAATTGTAAATCTTAAAATGTTTCACTTAAAATCTTAAAATGTTTCAGTTCAACTCTTTAAAAGTTACAGTTCAACTCTTTCAATGTTTCAGTTAAACTCCTTAAATGTTTCAGCTTAAATCTTTTAATGTTTCACTTACACTCTTTAAATAATTCAGTTTAAATCTTTAAATGTTTCAGTTTAAATCTTTAAAAGTTTCAGTTTAACACAACAACAGAAATCATTATCAGACTTGCACCGATTACAATTTTTTGGGCCGATCCCGATTTCTGATTTGCAGAGTGTTTGGACGGCCGATTCCGATTTTGGCCGATTCCGATTTCATTTTTTTCAAACCACTTTACAGCACACAATATATTTCAATATTTTCTATCTTTCCTTTATTAAAACATTTTAACGAAGATACAACCAGCTCTTCAATAATTATCTCAAACAAACAGAAACAGTGACACCGGTTAAGAAACATTTTCCTTTTTGCTCAAATATAACTTCAGGCACAGTATTAAAATAAATAAGTAAAAAAAGACATACATAAATAAAAACATGGATAAATAAAATATTAAGTCTTGGTGTAGAGCATTTGTGGGTTATTTCTTGCATAGACCAAATTTCCATACAGCCGACATTGTGTAGGTCGTCTGTACAAAAGCCCTTAGTGCTGAGGATGTGTCCGCCAGTAAGCGCACAGGCACGCGCATCTTTGCCACGCGGACATGCGCCTTGTCAGTTTCAAGCAGCACCGTGCAGCAGTGAGAGCTCCGCAGTTCAGTTTAACACGGACAATTAACAACTTTCTCCTTTTCTCTTTTGATGTGTGTGCGTGAATGATTAAGGTGAGAAGCCATATTTGTAAGAATTGAGTGTAAAGCTATTTTTCCTTTTGTTTAATCAATCAATCAATCAATTTTATTTATAAAGCCCAATATCACAAATCACAATTTGCCTCACAGGGCTTTACAGCATACGACATCCCTCTGTCCTTATGACCCTCGCAGCGGATAAGGAAAAACTCCCCCCAAAAAAACCCTTTAACGGGGAAAAAAAAACGCAAAGAACCACACATACACACTTGTTGTGAACCTCCTGCATTGAAAATTAAAGTATCCTACTACCCCCGCTCCTGTCGGAAATCCCGACTCACCTTCTCCAGGCCTCGGCGCTGCCTTCCCGGCGGAGGCGTCCTCGTCGCCGCGGTAAACCGAGTGGTCAGATGGTAAAATTAAGGATCTGCCTGGCACGCTCCTCGTACGACTCCCGGACTGTACAGGGATCATCACATCCCTTCACAGTGCCCCGGCGCTTCCTGGATCCCATTGACAGCTGTCTGGTACCTGTCACCGGCTTGGATGACGTAAGCCTATTCCGGCTGCGTTACCCGCTCCCCGCCCGGCTCCGCCAGCGTGGGATTAATCTCCACAACCTGAGGACACCGCTTCGTGTGCAGCGATCTGCTGGACCACAGGCTCCAGCTCCGACCAGAATTGGCCTGGTTAACGCCAGATCGCTGGCAAACAAAACTTTTATCTTGAGGGAGTTATTCAACTCCCGTGATTTGGATTTCCTCTGTGTAACGGAGACGTCTATCAACGCTGGTGAGTGCAGCCCTCTTGTTGAACTTTTACCAGCCGATTGCTGTTATTTTAACTCCCCGCGGGCACTGGGCCGAGATGGAGGAATGGCGACTGTTTTTAAAGGAACTTTTAATTGCAAACAGCGTCCTGCATCTTCCTCCAGTTTTGAGCTGACTGTTTTCGAGGTTGGTCACTCAGACCCGGTGCTCTGTGCCGTCATTTACCGACCCCCAAAATATAATAAAGAGTTCATCAGTGACTTTTCAAACTTCCTTGCGGGAGTGATGCTCAACTATAATCGTGTCCTTCTTGACGGCGATTTTAATCTCCATGTCTGCTGTCCTGATAAGCCTATGGTGAAGGACTTTTTAAACGTCGTGGACTCTTTTGGTTTGAAGCAGTGTTTGTCTGGTCCCACACACGAGCATAGGCATACATTAGACTTTTTTGGTTTTCTCTGTGGACTGTGTCCAACTTCGAGATCGGTGATTGTGTGTTTTCTGACCATGCACCAGTTTTATTTAGTGTTGATCTCTCCTGTGCGGCAGCTGAATACCGCGCTCCTGTCAGGCTTTGTCAGGCTTTTAACCCCTTCACTGCCAGCAATTTCTCTGCTGCCTTCTCTGCTGTCTGTGTCCGCCCTGATTCAGCCTCTGCTGATACGGAGGAGCTCTGCTCCTGGTTTAACTCCTCCTGCCTTTCTATAATGGACTCTGTGGCTCCTCTAAAACCCAGGCAGTCTAAGGCTAGACGTGAACCCTGGTTCAACGACAGAACCCGTGCAGCCAGATGGGAATGT